CCCACCTTCTGTTATTCACTCCCGCTTGTCCTCGGACACACACACACACACACACACACACGGACAAAAGCAGGCTCTGCTCGCTGTCGTCAGCGCGCTCGCAGTGGAGGGAGGGGCTGCGTGGGCACACAGCTGTGCCTTATCTGCGGCCCAAGCCCTTTCTGCGCGGCTGCTCCTGCATGCGGCTGCTCCTGCATGCGCCTCTGGGAGCTGCGCCCTTTAGCTGGGGGCGGGAGCTGGATTGCATGGGCCGGGGGTTGACTTGGACACTTTAGGCTGATTGATTTTCAATCTCTTCCCATTTCTCCACTTTTTCCCATAATGATAATGCTGATAATAATAATGTGATAATAAAATAATTATTTTTCTTACACATAAAATATCATTCTTGTGGATATTTTCTATCCATAACGATTACACATTCATTAAAATATTTTGAAAACAGTTTTGAATATTTATTTATGATACGACAGCCAGTTCTCCCCCAATCGACTCTGAGGTAATCGCTGACGCAGTGAGGCTCCCTGGATGTCCCTCTAGATGTGCTGACGTTCAGAGTCAGGGCAGCCGTTCTCGTTGACCGCTGGGTCTGCGGCTGAACGCCAGCACTTCCGGAATGAGTTCTGCTGCGGTTCCGGTAGCCATCGGGTCGCCTTTTGGAGTGAACGTCCTTCTTTTGGCTCGAGTAGCAGAGAAGTTACAGGCAAGTCTGAGCAAAGCTGAGATCTGCTCACCGAGTTGGTGCCGGGCCCCCAAAACCAGGAGTGCACAAGCCTCACCCATTCAGGCCGGGTGATTTATTCAGTCCCCCCTCCCCTGGAGAGCTCTGACGGGACACCAGCAGACTGCCGATTTCACAGATGTTTGTTTTACTTGTTGGTTAATCGTTTCTGATCGCTGCGCTTTCACGCTCGCCGCCACGGCCCGCGGCCTGTTTCGTCGCCGGGCCATAAAAACACGAGGCTATTTCTGTCCCGCCGCCCACCGCACCCAGACCTGGGCTCCTCGGGACTGTCCACACTCCCCACCCCGGCCAGACGGGAGGGCTGTAAATATAGCGGCCCAGCGGGCGGACCGTCGGTGTGTCCAGCCCTGGGATGTCCGGGGATGGCCTGTCATTACGCGGCGACGTTCGGCAGGGCCCTCGCTGGCGTGTGCGCTCTCCCTTAATCTGCTGCACCAGGAATCCTCCAGAGGAGGAGGCTGATCTCCCGGAGGCAGGCCTCCGGTCCCATCCCTTCCATGTCCAGTTTCCCGGCTGGCCCAGAGTAAACTCGCTGTGTGGTGGAGCCCACAGGTGGCACTTGATCTGTATAATCTGTCCTTCCCATAATGCTCTGGGGCAGGACGGTGGGAAGTCCTGGGGTGCCGCCAATCCAGCCGATGCCGATTGCCATGCTTCCTGGCTGTTCTCACGCCCGTTCGTTTTTTCTTTAAAAAAACCTTTCCGGGCTTTTCTGTGTAGTTGGTGTGGTTCCTGAGGCTGTATGTCCTGTTGGGATCTTCCCAGTGAGAAAATACGCCTCTGTAAGCGGTTTTGTCACCGCAGTCGCCCTCTCATGGCCGGGACGGGCTATAACAGTACAACCCATTCGGAAGTTGTCAGCCAGGAGAGGGGTGGGGTGGGGAGGGGTGGGGGTTTGGTGCGATTGACGATCTGTGATATGCCAAGGTAGTGACGAACCGCCGGCCACAGTGGGCCAAGGTGCACTGAGGCGGACATGACTGATCTTGTCCCCCGAGACGGGGCTGTGTGAGTGCGCACGCAGGGGGTCAGGAATGCACACAACCTGTGGGAACTGGGCCAGGTCTCACGGCGTATAAATAGAGGCAGCGTGGGCCGCTGGGCCCCGTGACGTCTCTGCTGCCGGGCCGCTCCCTCTCGCTTTCTGCCGGGCAAAACAATCCGCGGCTTGTCTGAGTGCCGGGCTCGGCCTGCGTCCTGAGACGCCCACCTGCCCCCGCTGGCGTGGGCTTGCCAGTTTCGGCAGCCGAGGGGGGGGCATGATGTCAGCACCACTCCCCGGGGCGGGTGCCTGTCTCCCTGCCGCCGCATTTTTTTCTGAATGGGACAAAAAATGCGATAAAAGCAGTCTGGCCGCATAACCCCTTCTCCGTCGCAGTAAAGTCCCCGGATGAGCCCGGCCTCTCCGTCGCAGTAAAGTCCCCGGATGAGCCCGGCCTCTCCGTCGCAGTAAGGTCCCCGGATGAGCCCGGCCTCTCCATCGCAGTAAGGTCCCCGGATGAGCCCGGCCTCTCCGTTGCAGTAAAGTCCCCGGATGAGCCCGGCCTCTCCGTCGCAGATCATAGCTGACTGCACTTAGTGGTTTCGGAACTTTTGCGATGCTCCATAAACATGTGTTGACAAACAAAGTCAGATTTAATTACTACGTTTTATTATTATTATTATATTGTCGCGGTGTGTTGCTTTAATTAGCCAGCCCACTGTGGATGGCCATGGCTCATGAAACCCTTTCTGAAGTAGCCCTCAAGAACTTCTGCACCAACGCAGTGTAGGTGCATCTGAGAACTTTTAAGGGCCTGTCAAACAGACATTTCAGTAGCTGGCATCTCTAAATTACTTAGCCTATGTGCTCTCTAATGGACTGGCTTCACATCCTGAATATTCCCTGCCTTGTGTCCTGTGCTTTTGGGGATGGGCTCCAAGCCTTCTGTATCCCTGTGATGGATGGATGGATGGATGGATGGATGGATGGATTTATAACCTAAGTTGGTCTCTGTTGTCTACTGATCGAAGGTGTTCTAGACTAACTGTCAAGTGATGTTGCTGCTCCTTTATGACAATCTCTTCATGTCACATCTCCTGTGGGCCTGTAAGATTTCACCGGTCTGCTCATTCTAGCCTCCAGCGTGTGGGATGCAAAGCGGGAGGCGACACCGTGATGTTTTAGGCGAAGGAAAGGAGCAGGTAGAGAGCAGTGCGAAGCATTAACACAGCGGAGGCCTCCCTCCGTGGGGCCCCTTACTCAGTGGGGCCCCCATGTGGTGCTTTCAGGTACAGCAGCGTGTTCCCTAGCCTGAACATGGCGGTGAAGCGTCGTGAACAGGCCTTGCAGGACTACAAGAGGCTGCAGTCCAAGGTGGAGAAGTATGAGGAGAAGGAAAAGACCGGACCCATGGTGGTTAAACTACATCAGGCAAGCATCCCGCTTCCCACAGAATTTTGGGGATTTTAACAGGATTTACTGCCTCTTGCCATCTTATACTTTCATACATTTAAGTGTTCGCTAAAGCAGTATTTGTGTAGATGTCTTAACCACTATGCCACCTGCTGGTAGTAGAGGCTGCTCGGTGAACTCTCACAATTGCATAAATGGGCCTTCATTTTTGTGCAGCCGAACAATATTTATCCAGCCCTGTCCTGGCCACATATGCCCATATAGTCACAGGCGCCAACACAGAGCCCCCTCTCTACACAGCACACACACCTACACGGATAGAGTGAGTGCGTGAGTGAGTGCGCGTGTGAGTTAGTGCAGGCGGTTGTCCCTGCATTCATAGTAGTAGACAGCTGTAGGTAGGACGTGCTCAGATAAGTCACCAGAAGAAGGTGCCCCATCTGAATGGAGGTTGTTGAAGCTCTGTCAGCTGCTTGATGAACAGACCGACCTCCCCCCCCCCCCCCACACACACACACACCTCCGTCTGGTGAGTGACGCCCCCAGATCACATGCCCACTTCACTCCTCCAGTCATCACTCATGAGTGAACAGGCACTTTCTGATGAGGTCATGGGAAGTCTTTGGCAGAACCTCTTAAAGAACAGCCAGCCCATCCACACCGTCCTTCAGTGTATAAACGTGGCAGGGATTCGGCTTCTCTTCCCTTGCCATGTCCTGGTGACTTCTCTCACTCTTCCGGCTCTTTCCGTCGCAGGCCAGGGAGGAGCTGAGGCCCGTCAAAGAGGACTTTGAGGCCAAGAACAAGCAACTGCTGGAAGAGATGCCCAAGTTCTACAGCAGCCGTATCGACTACTTCCAGCCAAGCTTCGAGGCGCTCATCCGGGCCCAGGTGAGCAGGTCGGCTCCTCCTCCTAGGGACGTGTCTCCCACTCTGCGCCTCCTGGTGAACGCCTGTGAAGTTGTGTGCCAAAGCACCAACAGGATGTGTAACACAGGCTGGAATCACTGGTGTTACTGGGGAATACCCATACTTGGGCATCTCTAGAAAATATGCAGAGTATTCCCTGTGTAATACTTTATTTTTATTAGTAGTAGGAGCAGCATGGAGTCATTCTCCAGCTGAGCCACAGTTCCTCCACCCAATCCTACATGCTGATCCAAGTGGAGATGGTCTACCTCTAACCAGCCTGGCCACTGGTCCGGTCAGCACCAAAGTGGACCCAGTGTAACTCCCTCCATGGGGCCTTTAATGAGCTCAGCAGGCAGGAAGCGGTGGCAGGCTGTCCGGCAGATCAGGTCGTGCCACAGGGACACTGCGTCAGCCCATGTTCCACTTCTTTCCAAGTGTAGACTTCTGTCAAAACATGTACTGGTCCTCCATTTTAGTTGGGCTCTGCTGGTGGTCCTGGGTTTCTCTGGAGAACCTAAGCATCATGCAGCATTTCGGGCAGGAGGTCGTCCATCACGGCGGCAGAGAGTTCAGCTTCTGTGGAAAGCGGCGAGGCCTGGCCGCGTTATGGGGCTGTGGTTGGTGAGGGGGTGTGGGGGTGTGGGGAGAGGTCAGCGGGCGGCTGGAACCGCGCTGAGAGTGACTGAGGAGGCAGCTGCCCTTCAGTGGCTTAAAGAGCCAGATTGACTAGGCTCTGTGGAGATGGACGATGTCCCACCATAGGGACACTGAGCAGCTTCTTTGGGGGTCTCATGGAGAACAAAGGTGTAGCTACTGCTGATTCAGATGGAAATGGTCTAAATATACAGGCTAGGATTTTACTGTGGTTAGAGTCTGTCCGTTAAGACAATTCTCATGAGCGAGTCCTTTGGATTAACCTGCTACTTCCATTAGGTGCTTTCACGCCGTGGGAACTTTTTTTCTGGAGCCAGAACCTTTTTCCGGGGTGAGGAACTTTTGTGATATTCATGGCACAGGAACTTGGCCCAGTTGTAGTTCCTCTGAGGCAGTTCCGAAACCCTTTTTTAGTACCTACCTCCAGACTTTTTAAGTACTGGGGAAGCGCTTAGAGCGATAGGTTGCTGATTGGTTGACCAGAAGCACGGCCACTAGCTTAGAAGTTACGTGAAGCGTGGGGGGAAGAGAGAGAAGTAACAGAGAAAAAACTGAGCAGAAGGAGTTAGTTTTGTATCTCAATTACATTTAATGCATCAATGAATGTTTTCTTTTCCATAATTCTGTATCGGAAAATTTGATCGATTACCAATATTCTTTTGTCTAATATTACTGGTATTAGTGGGATAACGTTACATAATTTTTTATTCCCTGGAAATCGAAACATTGATCTGCTGGCCAGATTTAAATAGTAAAATATAAATAAAAAACTCTGTCCTGTTTTGATCGTGATCGAACATATAACTATCAAAACAGTGTGTATATATCGTTCATTGTTTCCGCATGGCGATGTAGTTTTGTATTAAATTATGTGTGAAGTTTAACCTACGAGCTTTTTGTCTCTCCCATGGTTATTTAACATAAAGGTCCCAATTCCTGTTCTGTGGTCTGAAAGTGACGCATGAAAGTGGCCAGGAGCACAAAAGTTCCTGGTGGAGATGGTCCAGGGGCTTGTAAAGCAGGACCAGGTTCTGGGAACTTTGGCGTGAAAACGCCTATTGCTGACTGAAACTCTTCTAGTGAATTGTCTCTCGTACTGCTCTTCGCATATGGACACACGTGTGTACGCACACGGCAACCCCACACACGTGTGTTCGTATGTGAGCCCAACATGCTTGTCATGTGGGCTCATCCTGCTGCTCTCTGCATAGGCACGCCCTGCCAATGGGTCCTCACACACGCACCCACACACCTGTACTTATATCTTTGTGGGGACTGTCCGTTCATTTCTAGGTGAAAAACCCTAATCCCAGCAATGACAACCTTAACCATAAGTAACCAAACAAAATACAAGTCTTTTGGCATTTTTAGTTTTTTTTTATTTCAATCACAGACCTTTATAAAATTTAATTTCGCCTTGTGGGGACTGAAAATGGTCCCCACGTGGTCAAAATAAGACATTGTGGGGACATTTGTTCCCCATAATGTCATGGTATACCTGGAACACATACACACACAGCTACTCCTAAGCGACTGGAGGCCCTCGCTCCGACAGCCCAGCCTCTCTCTTCCCAGCTTTTCCAAATTCAGAGTGTTGCTGGGCTGGCCTCCTCATGTGCCGCCTCTGAGCCGTTACTCATACACAGTATATATGCACATTTGTCTCATTTCAGTCTAAAAATGCCAGAATGAAAGCCCACTAGTCAGACGCCATTAGCTCTCCCTGCGCTACATTATTATTTCAGGCTCTCTGGACTGTCCGTTTGAGGAACTGGATTTGTACTTATAAGTGAAGACAAATGTTTGCCCCTCTGTAACATTCACAGAACTGTTTGTGGGGGGGGGGCGGTTCCTGAATTATGAGATGTCAGTCATGTACAGAGCCCTTGATGATTTCCTATAATATCCATTGACAGGCATTGTTAGTGGGGTGTCACACCTCCAGGCCTGTGGATTCTGCGTGTGGGGGGTTCTGCGTGGTTTTGTGGGTTCTGCGTGTGGGGGGGGGTTCTGTGTGGTTTGTGGGGTTTGCATGTTGCACGTGTCTTTCCTGCATGTGCTCTGGTTTCCTCCTGTAGCCTGGAGACATGTGAATTGGAATCTCTGAATTTCCCATGGTGTGCCTGTGTGTGCGACTGTGTGCCTGTGCCTGTGTGTGCCTGTGTGTGGGACTGTGTGCCTGTGTGTGCCTGTGTCTGTTTGTGCCTGTGTGTGTGCGACTGTGTGCCTGTGTGTGTGCAACTGTGTGCCTGTGCCTGTGTGTGCCTGTGTCTGTTTGTGCCTGTGCGTGCGACTGTGTGCCTGTGTGTGCCTGTGTCTGTTTGTGCCTGTGTGTGTGCGACTGTGTGCCTGTGTGTGTGCGACTGTGTGCCTGTGCCTGTGTGTGCCTGTGTCTGTTTGTGCCTGTGTGTGTGCGACTGTGTGCCTGTGTCTGTTTGTGCCTGTGTGTGT